CTCCTGCCGAAGCGCACCACAATTTGGCAGGTGGCAGATGCTGAGGCAAAGCTTTATTGGACGGCATGGCGGCCAAAGCCTCTGCAAATTCGGCGACCGTGAATTGGAGGGGCTCATCAGGTGGGGAGAGCATGGGAGTGACGACATCCGGGTGCGTGTGATATATGTCGTGAAAGTACTCCTTGATGGTTTCAATTGCATCGCTGGGGCCTGCGGGCATGCCTCGGTCCGTTCGAATTTGCAGCTGCTTCCGGGGCTGCGCCGGTGCGAGCCAACGCAACAGACGGAAAATGCATGGCAGTCCCTGCGGTTGGGCAGCAGCATCAGACAGCAAAGACTCGAACTTGGCCTTCTTTCGTGTATGACACTGTTTGCGTAAAGAACCCTGAATACGTTTCAACTTCGCATGAGCCTGCCATAGCCTAATAAAGCACCTAAGGCCACCTCGAGTGGGGAGCTGTTTGGCTGCCTCCCTCTGGCGCCACAGAGCCGTGATGGTGGCTCGTGTTTGCTCCAACGCTGGATGGGCCGCTGGTGCAGCCGGGCGTTGCGGCTTGACCATGTGCCAAGCTTTGCGCATAAGAGGCTCTACGTCTTGGGTGGGGTCTACTTGACTGAGAATACGAAGTTGTTCCTGATACCTATCAAGGAGAGTAGGGTCCTTAAGGCAAAGATCCTGAACAGTTCTGCGAGAAATGCCGTCGGGGTTGGGCCTACCACGGGGGACCTGAGGTCTACCTATGCTGCCAAGCAGTGGCACGTGACGCATGCCCGTGCCAGGGACAAAAGGCAGGTATTTTGCGGCCGTTTGTCGGGCGACCTGATCGCAGTGCACGCCACTTAGCAGCGCGAAGTCAATCTGGCTGTGGCCCTTAGTAGTGGCCGGTATATAGGTGCAGGATCTGCGCCCTCTATGCGACCAAGTGTTAAGAGCAACCATCTGGAAGTTTTCTACAATAGCCTGAAACATGTGCGCATCAGTGGCGTGTCGTTGCTGATGTTGGCAAAGCCCTTGGCCAACTAGGCTGCCGGATGACTGCAAACTACAGTTGAAGTCTCCTACAATTAAGGTTTGGTTACGCTTCGGGAGGCTGCTGACAAGAGCGTGGAGTTTGGCCCAAATCTCAGCTCTCTTAGCTAGAACCTGATCCTTACTCGCGGCCTGACCTTCCTTCTTCTTCGTGATCGACCAGGCATGCTGGTAAATCAAGATTATGTCTGTACACGGGTTGGCAAGAAGGCGTATGTGTACCAACCTTCCTGCAACAAGCTCTTGGTACTGCACATGATGCTCAGGAAACTTCTCTTTATTGATCATAGCGAGTAAACCACCTTCCGGCTTGGAGCCCCCACTATGGATAACAGAAAAACGTTCCCAAGTATACTCCCTAGCTTGCTTCCAATGAGTCTCCTGAACGAAAACCAAATCAACGCCGGAGCCCTCCGAAGTCTGAAGCCAGGCTTTGAGTTCCTCGTGCCGTTCCAGGTTGAGGCCCGAGGCGTTCCAACTGAGGAAACGCAGTCTGTTATGGTCCTGCTTAGGGGCTCGGGAATTAGGAGGTTTGGGTGGTGTCGGACGCTGGAGGACTCCTAACTGCTGCGCAGACATCCACTGGCCTCTGTAACGAGTTCCTCCCTGCCGTGCGGCTCGGCGTTGCGCACGCAGAAAAGAGCGTTTGTGCCCCGATCTAATGGGAGCTTGTGGGGTGTCACCGTGGGGGTTCGTCGAACCCTGAAGTCCGATATTGCTTTGTAACATGACTTCAGGAGGATCCAGGTGGGGAGAGCCTCCAACCCTCGTGTCTGCAAACTGAACCGCACTACAAGGTTGTAGGAGAACACAGCTCATCAGAAGGATCTTCACTAAGGCGGAAAAGAGGTTCAGTTTACCCCCGGATTTGGGACCGGGGCGGCCTACTGGTTGTTTACGGGAAAAGGGGTCGTTAGGGCAATGCGGGGACATATGTTGCACGATGCAAGCTGCCGCCGTGGAAAACAGAGCATACCAAACTGTACAAGGCTGCCAAATAATCCGCTTCAGCTTAAAAATCCAGCTCACGAAGGGCTGGAACCCCGGCTTTGTCCGGACACGGCGAGAGCGCCGTCGTCTGCCTCTGCGTGTGGGGCATGCTGTGGGTCTCCACTTGCTGTTCCGAAGATGCCGTCCAAGTGCTCCTGACCAGATAGGCTTAGGCTCCGCGCGGCCGTGGTACCACATCGGTGGAGGATGCAGCCGCTGTATGGGCGGTGGATCCCGCGTTATCGGACGCCTTTGGCAGAAGGCGATGCTCGTATCCTTGGAACCATTGTTGAAAATCTCGTTGCCCCTCCGGTCCCAGCAAGGGAAAGAGTAGCGCCGTACTGGCCTGGTAACGCTGACCATCGATCCGCCCCACCAAGATGGGCACAATGGTTTCAGCGCTGGCAGGGTGGATGCAGGTGCGCAGATACTCCACTGCAATCCTGGACATATGCTGCAAGAACAGCGGTTGCGGGGGGTCCCCGAGGCGACCAACCCCGCAGATCCACTCACGGTCGTTCTCCTGTACGCGTCTGTCCAAGAGCTGGCTGAGTGTCTGATAGTCCCTATCAAGTCTCTCCGCGAACTGTAGGTCCAGTCTGGGTCGCAGGATGGCCAAGGCATCCCTGGGCTCACCATCCTGCATGTTGCGCCTGGCGGCTGCCAGTTTGGCACCAGAGGTTCGCTTAGACAACTCCATGCTGCGCACGTGCATACTCCAGTAGTGCATGCAAAGTTCAAACAGTGTGCGTCTGGCAAACCATTGTTCGAGACGATGCCACTCCGGTGCCGCGGCCGCATCGCGAGGCTGTATGGCACCACGGCTAGCACTACCCAGCATAGCATCAGTGGAAGAATCATTGATATCAGCCAAGCTCGCTGCAGGCTGGGATCCCGACATCCCCCGGCCCGAGGGCCCCTTAAGCGGAGATGTCGCGAGCCGCTTGCTTGTTCCGAGCAGCTAAAAGACACTGGCCAGCTGATAGTGTGTCACGCACCCATGCACGCAGAGCGCCCCGAACTCCAGAAAAATCTTCGGGCCGAGACACTTACTACTACCACTACTACTACTACTACTACTACTACTACTACTACTACTACTACTACTACTACTACGACTACGACTACGACTACGACGACGACGACGACTACTACTACTACTACTACTGCTACTAGGCGCCGCGCTGCTAATTGATCGCTGTGTTTTCGGGCTTTGTGATGTTTGCTGAAAGTCGCTTTTGTATTGTGTTTTACAGCACTTTCGCGTTATGGACCATTTCATGGTGCGAACTCATGAGGGCCAGAATTGCCGGTAAACTACTTGTTGGATGCGCATCAAAATGATAAGTGATCGTGTGGTTCGTTTTATAAACAAATATATATATATATATATATATATATATATGTATTGATGCACACATATTCGATATATATGTATTGATGCACACATATTCGATATATATATACATATATATGTATATATATGTATATATATATATATATATGTATGTATGTATGTATATATATATATATATATATATATATATATATCAGTTATAAGATACCATAGCTTTGACACGTGTCTTCAAACTCCAGTACATGCAGCTTTCATTCTGCATTAACCCTCGGACTCTGAACAGGCCGTATCTGAACTCTACAGAGGAAATCTTTTGGCGGGCGCACTCATCGGACTCTGTTGGGCTGGAGTGAGAATCTGAGATCTTGGTACTTATCTTTGATGATCCTGGGAAGTGTGTGGTAGAGGGCCATGTCGACGCGCTGTCTGCCCCAGCAAGAGCGCTGGTTCGTTTGCGTCCGCGAGCGCCAACCATTGCACAACAAAAAGATCTCGCCCAAGGGATAAGGCTGAGGGTTGAGGCTTCGGCGAAGACGTCAACAGGATTAGGATTCTGGGTCGCTTGGAGCAGGAACTTCTTCCCCTCCCCCCCCACCCCCTACCCGACCCCACCCCACCCCCCCACCCCATCCCACCACGCCAACCTCCTGAAGCAGTTGGATCCACGATCAAATAAAGGCGTGTAGGGTACTACTACTACTACTACTACTACTACTACTACTACTACTACTACTACTACTACTATTACTACCACTAATACTACTACTACTACTACTACTACTACTACTATTACTACTACTATTACTACTACTATTACTACTACTACTACTACTACTACTACTACTACTACTACTACTACTACTACTACCACTAGCAATGCCGCTAGTACATGACCTCCTCCTGGAAGAGGGAATTGGACCAAGCCGCGTGTGCCAGCTCGTGCTCGACCCTGGGGCCTTAGAGAGCGGCTTCGCCGCCTCATGCCAGAAGTAGGCATCAAGAACCGTGGCCCATGGCCCACGCCAGGTCTGGAATGAGAGCGGTGGCAATCTTCGGGTTGGTCAGTTGCTTACGCTGCATCGTTGCGTTGTGACAATCCCTGCCCGGGTCTCTAACACGGGCTTGGCATCGAACAAGCAGACTCAGGCTGGTCGTGCGCACAAGCAAGCCTGAAACTAGGCCGTTCGTTCGTGTTGACTCGCTCATCCGGCTTACTTGGAGCCGTCGGTGCAGGCACTGACAAGTGGTCATTCGGCTATGGTGGCACTGCAACGAAATCGCATGCTGGACAGCCGAGCGCTTAACACCTAGGGCCGTGACAAAGTTGTCTGCAGGCAACAGAACCCAGCCTGTGATGCCATGCAAGCCTTGTAGACCATAAATGCAGCTGGGCGACATACCTTTCGAGTCCAAGGTTCACCAAGTATGGCCAAACATTTGGTCAAGCTGATGTCGTCCTCTTGGAAGTATCAGTGCAGCCAGAACCGCATTTGTGTAACATGCTCACCGAACTTCCTAGACTCCCATGGCTTGCAGCACCTGGACTCTCAGGCTTTGGCTCTGTTCATAGCTTTAACAGTCAGGAGCCGAGCCATGGGATATGTAACCTGAGCCCTGCTCAATATGGCCATGGAGATCTGCAGGCAGATTGACATTGCAACCCCTGCCCAGCGGCCCACCTGCCGCGGGCCACGGCCACCGTGGCATTTTAGGGGCCACGGTCTGCGCAGAGCCGCGGACGTCAGCGCGGTGTGGGCCGTGCGATGCTCCGCTGCGGGTGCGGCACTATGCGGTGCTTTGCGGCAGCGGGAGAAGCGGCACACCCGTGTCTGCGGGTCCAGAGCATCAGGGCGAGGGTCAGGCCCCAGGGTGGTCGAAGATGGCACGCTGATGGGCGATCGGCCGAAGGTCCGCTACATGTGGCAAGTCCCACAGGCTGCATCGCCGGAGCTTGTGCTGGCTGGTCGTTCGAACGCAGGTAAAAGCACCCTTCTAAACGCGGTGTTGGGTGCAGCCGGAGCAAAAAAAGCAGCTCCGATGTCCTCCAAAGGTGGTCGAACTCGCACACTGAACTGGTATCCTATAGGCTTCAAGATTCCTTTGGGCTGGACCGGGGATGGTGTCCGAGTTTCGCAGCAAAGTGACGACCAGACCCTGGAAGACGAACTCAGGGCAGCCGGCGAAGGCTGCTGTTTAGTTGACTGCTTTGGTCTTGGTGAGGTGGAATATTCGGATCTGAAGGCAAAGCGTCTCCAAACTTGGGGACCCTTATTGCAGAAGTTTCTGAGTGAACGCCGCGCCTTGAAGACACTCTGCCACCTCATCAGCTCCGAGCAAGAAGGCCAGCTGTCACCGGGCGACCAGCAGCTTGTGGACATCTTTCGGCGAAGTGAAGCAGACCGCTCTTCCAGGCGCCTTCCGCCACTTCGCTATGTTGTAGTCTTAACCAAAACGGACTTGTACGAATCTCCGCAGGTTGCACAGTTTCAGGAAAAGCTGAGGCAGGCCCTGTTGGATCTTGGACAACCGCCCGCCGACATCGTATCCTGTACATCGCTGAGCCGTAAGGGAATCAAGGACTTCCAGACAGTTGTCAACGAAGCAGTCAGGCGAGGCTGGGATCACTTGGACGAGTGGAAGAATGATGCGACGAAAGAACGCAGACTTCCTCAGGGCAGAAACAAATACGAACGGCGAAATGCCAAAGCGGCCTACACGTCCACGGCAAAGCAATCTGCCAGACAGCCGTCTCGCGGTGGCAAAGGAGCAAGTACAATGATGCCTCCATCGGTATAGACCGATTTATGAGCTCTTTGAGGGCGTGTTTCGACCTGCTCCAACTGTTCCGGTCAGACGTGCATGCGCAGAATGCGTCCGACGTTTGGGCATGCGACAGAATAAGATGCGATCCATGCAAGACCCTGTGAAGACCTGTGAATCCCGTGGATGTCAGAAACACAGGCACAGACTCCGGCACAGTAGTCCAGGCCATCACATGCTGTGTGGACTTGGACCGACGAGCAATCACGTGCCCACGTGCTGTGTGAACCCCGCCCGTCGCAAAGAAGAGACAGTTTCGTGGAAGGTACATGAAGAACGGACGAGAAATCCCTGGTGATGCACCCCTGCTGCATTGAAGATGGCTCGACGGTTCGGCTGCAAGCCCTTTCGATCTGAGTGAGGCCTTCAATCTCAGCAAGGACTTGCATGGATGGGCCTTGTTTCCCCACGCTGCGATCTCATAGCGGAAGTTCGAAGCCATTACATAGGCTGGTTAGAGCGAAGGTGTACACAAAGGAGGCAACCTTCTCTGTGTCTTTTGATGGACGTGGCGGTGTCGCGTGCTAAGATCGAAGTTACCTTCGGAACATCCGAGCATGACTTAGCCTTAGCCAGCAGCAGGCCCCACCACTTGTTGGCGGATACCAGTGGCTCGCGCAAGCAGAGAAGGACTGCCCGATGAGCTACTAGCAGATTTGTCTTTTGTCCCTTGTGACAGGGCACTCTTTCGCCCAGCCCCAAGCAACCTCGAGCCGGAGAGGGCCAGGACCTCAGCACATGCGTTCCCGCTCTAGACTCGGCTAAGCGGCCGAACTCGGTCCAGGCGAAGAGGATCTGGAGGACGGGGTGAGTGGCCTTAGTCCAGTTGTCGCGTGGCTGCCTTGCGTTTGCCGCCTTTCGCCAAGGCTGCGAGCACCTCTGGCGGCTTCGTGCTGACAGCATACGGATGGCGAAATGCTGCGGAGGTGGGTGTGCCAGAGCCTCGGATCACACGGACGTCATATGTCATGGTCAGCGCTTGCTTCAGAATTTCCTGAGCTCTTTGCCGCAGTGTGTTTTAATTCAGTTCTTTGAACAATCCCAAAAAGGGGTTGTTCTTGGCACTCTTCGGCCAAAGCAGCAGATGGTCTCTGGAGCATATGCGCCGCTTACTCAATCTGCCGCGCAGAGCCTGGATTGGAAATGGTTGATTGAGATGCTGCGGTTAAGCTTCACCCAGTGTCACCAGTAGACGGGCAGTGCTCTGAGACAAAGTCGGTAGTAGCGACAAAGGCGGGGAGGTGGTGCATTTGCCAAGGACAGGGCTCAGCATGAACTGCTGCCAAATTCTGGCAGTGATCCTGGCGAATGCCCTTGCCCTTCCTCTTCAGATCTTGGCCTTGCCATTTCAACTGCTCTTTATTTTGCTCATGTGGGAGGCTCAGATCCAAGGCATGTCGCTGGTTGTTCCACATGGGAGGGGCAGTCTGTCATGCCAGACTGTTCGTGGAGGGTCACGGCCGAATGCCGGAAAGCATGTAGCTGCTCCAACCTGCTCGGGCTTCACAAATCGCAAGGGTGATGCGACGGTTCGGTTCAGTACAAGTCCGTTGAGGAGTGGTCAACCAAGGCCACTGGTGAGCTTCTGCTCGGCACTTAGCTTGAGGAGGCGAGCTGCAACCATTGATGGACGGGCAGAAGATCCGCTCGTTGCGCAAACTTGGGGATCATTGGAGGCCTGTCTTTGTTTCGCGGCCCTTTGCAGTGCGGTGCATAGCAGCATCCGCAAAAGCCCTGATAGGAGCTCCTATCTCGACCTGCGGTCACGGTCGACGTCTCTGCGACATGGCCGATGGTAGTGCTGGCAGCCCTCCTGCTTCCAATGATCTTGGCACCTTGGCTGTGGCATCTATGTCGACGAAGATCTGCTTCAAGGCTGTGCATCTTAAGGTCAACAACATGCTTGCCATCTGGATCCCGCCGTACTTTGCTCACATCGCTCGCATGGCAAAATGGCACCAGCTGTCTGCCACAGGCGGGTGTCATTGCCCACTGAAGCAGTGCCAGGGATAGACCGTGACAGGCTGTGGGAAGGTGCTCTTCTCCTGGTATTACTGGAACTGGCATCTCCTCTTCGGTACGTTGATCGCGTACATGGGGCAGCGGCGAGTCAGTGTCTATGCCTTCGAAGGCCGGGCTCCATACCCGAGGTATGGAGCTTGAGCTGCCCACAAATGCAATGCAGGGGCCGGACCCAGGTGCCCCAATGATCCAGGAACTTCACACGAGCGGGCACCATTTTGCTGATTGCCCGAGCCCGTAGTGAAGCTGATGAAAATTCAAAAGCAACGCGCGGCGTGTTGATGCACCGGTTGATATCCTTCCAAATGAATCGCGCCTGAGTTTCTGTCCGAGATTCGTGTAGTAAACCGCCGCTGTCTCTTGGCGACCAGCTACGGATGTAGCATGCAGCGACATCTTCTTAAGGAACCGGGGAAGCTGCATGCTGATTCGGCGCACACGTGGGGTGCTCCGATACTCTCAAGTCAGGAGGTTTAAAGAGCATTGGCGAGATTTCCGAAACACGTGGGCTCTCTGCACCGCTTGAATCCACGCCGCTCTGCAAGCGACATCTCGCAGCAGAAATCTTGCACAGGTGAGGCGCAGGGTGGAGGTGACTATTGGTGGCATGGACAAGGCAGGTCTGAAGATGTTTCGTTCGCTCGACAGTTGGCACCGACGCAGTGTCGCAGTATAGCTTGGCTCCTGGCAGGCTACTTCACTGGAACGCACGCTCTGGTTGATCAACTCGCCTCATGCCTCCAAAGAGCTTGCCGGACGGGCTCACAGGAAGTGAGTTCGAGGTTTCTTACTCAAGCGGTAGTGGGGCCACAGAGGTTGTTTTTTTTGCAATTTTCTCTCAGGCTCTGAAGCTTCCCTGAACGGAAGTTGCCGCATCAGGTACATGAGCAGGAGCAGGGCACAGAAAGAGTGGACCCGGAGAGACTGGAGCAGATTCGTTCCTCCAACCACTAACATTTTCCAAGGCTATGGGTGCGCAAGATCGCGGACTAGGACGGGCCGCCTTCGATGCGGTGATTCCAGAAGTCTTCCCGCTGGACTCGATAATATTTCTTCCAAACGGCCACGAGGACGGGTTGCTTTTCATTTGCACGATCCCATCTCCCTTCTGTAGCCTTGCACACGGCCGCACTCACATACCTGTCAAAGGCGACCTCGAAGTGGGCTGAAACCAGGAAAGTTATGCACGACTTCTGGCTTTCGGCAACTGGGTTGCAGAGAACGTGCTGGGCAACTCGTGCAGGTGCCTGGGTCTTGTCCTCCCCGGCTCAGCACGGCTAGGGTGTCATGCTGTGCTCGTAGATTGAGAGTGCTGGGCCGAGGTGGAGACGACATGTGTTTGTCTGCTTTACATTCACCCGCATATCACAGCAGTTCTGCTCTCCTTTGCTCCTGCTATCTTCTGCTCTGCTGTGATGTGGCAGTTTGGGAGATTGTGTTAAGGAACAGGGTCCGAACTATGCGCAGCGGGTCGGACACTTGAAGGACACTCTCTTGAGACCGGGCTGCTCAATTATGCGAACTGTGTTTGCTTGCTTCCTGCATGCCACAGGGACTTCTCAAAGAAAGTTGGAGCAATCCGAGCTTAGACAACTTGGCTAACATCAAGGCCAGATCAAGCATGTGGGCGGATAAGGGCAGGATTCTGGAAGTGCTGTGCCAGGTAGCATCGGTCTTGGTGTCTCGGTGCGTGTTCTACGTCTTCTTCGGCCATTGGCTGACAGACGAAGAGGCACCGCGACGTGCAGGTTTGTTTTCACAGACTGCTTGAACATGTCCTCGGCAGTTCCAGCATGAACGTTCCAGCGTCGAGTGCTTGCTGAGCTACATCGGCCATGTGCAGGCCAATGTCATGAGCCGTTGGGCCCGCGATGCACCACTGCTGGTCACGCCGCGATTCATGCACCGGTGCCGCAGCTGCAGATGAGCCCACGAAAGGATTTCGGCCGTTGCTTGCTTCATCACATCCTGCTTTTTGTCTTGCGGTTAATCGCCATGAGCACCACAGGTTGATGTTCAACTTCTTCGTGCACCAATGCAAAGACTTGCGTGCAGAGACCATCGCGCTGATCAGCAAGCATAAGCTTGGGCATCCGTGCTGAAAAACAGATTGCGAGAGGATCTACTCGTAGCAAAGGGTCCCTTGCATAGTGGCTTTCCAGCGACCGAGATTCAGGCACGTCTTCAGCACCATGAACTCAAGCTTCTCTTCCGCCAACCGGCGCAAGTACGACATCGACCTTTGCAATGAGCTGATGTTCGTTATTGGTTTTGCTGGGATCGGCGGGCCTAGTCGTGCTGCGGCTTCGGTAGCGAAGCGCCTCGCATGCGTTGGCTTGGGGAGAGACTCCTGTTGCGCCTTGGAAAGTGATGTAGACATGCCGAGGTTCCTGCTGGCACAACAGTCGGAGGACCAGGCTGGTGTGACCTTCGGCGGGGCGAACAGCCACTTGATGATCGCCTTGTACAAGAAGGACCCCAAGGCCTTCATCATGGAGACGTGCCGTATTTCATCGCCAGTGGGCACCTTCACCACCCGCCTCACCGCAAGCGCTGCGAAAGAGCTCGGGCTCGGCCTCGACCTGGGCACAGCCCAGGAGACACATTTGGCGGGAGTGATCAACGTCTCGAACGTGGATCCTAGGAAGTTCCCGGAGCCACACAAATTTGACCCTTCACGGCCAAACTTGCCGGATGCACTTACATGGAATGGAAAAGCTTTCAGTTCCAGAGAATGCGATTACCCTCGCCTTTGCCCCGGGCGAGAGTTGAGCATACAGATCGTGAAAACGCTTACAGAGGTAGCTTTGGAGGGAACAGGAAGTTAGAGCCAGGAGCACAAGGTCTCCAAGGTCTGATCCTGTGACCGTGCCTTCAATGCGCCAGAAATGCCGATATCAGCAATCTCTGCCTTTCTTCTCTGCTGCTTTTGAAGTCCTCCTGGTTGTGAGCGCATGAATCTGCCAGTCCAGGTCTCCATCGTCACAGGACTGGCGGATACTGGCGGAATACCTGGACCTAGTCAGTCTGCATACTGGTCTGAGCAGTTGTTTCTTTGCGTGCAGCAGGAATGGAGAGGTGCTCTGGATGCGTACGCTTGTCCCTCAGGATGAAAATTACTTTGGTTGAGCGCGAGGCCGAGCGCAGCGAAGTGCGGGAGAGTTGTCGCGAGGTAAAGCACTTCACGTCGCTCTTGGAGCCACGAGCTTACGGGCACGTCATTCCATGTTGACTCGGCTAAACAAGGATGCTGCGTGTTGCCTTGGTTGTGATTTTTGGCGGGGGCTTTACCAGTATGCCGTGGCTTTTCCCTTGTACTCTCTGTTCTCGGTCTCCGCCTTTTGCCCTCGATCCCCCTGCGTATGCTATGGTTTCAGGATGTTTCAGGCGTGTACCCAGCTTGTCCTCTTGCTCGCCACCTACGCCCACCCACCCACCCACCCACCCACCCGCCGGTCCGTCCACATCGCACGCCCTCCCACTCACCCACCCGCACCCGCCCGCCATATCCATGTTTGAGGCGCGCAGGTGTAGCCAGCCATGAACAATTTTTGAAGTGCTAGTGGGCTTATGGATGTTTTCGGCATGAGATTCTGCTTTCAAGGCCGCAAGGGGCCAACCCTGAGCCTCCCTTCCCTTCCCCTGTGAGCCAGGCCAGCATGAGGAAAAGCCGGCCGTCTAAGAGAAACATGCACGCACACAGATACACGCTGCCCTTCCCCAGGTTGGAATACGAGGCTGAGAAGGAAGCTGTTCTGGAGCGTGTGGGAAGCTCGCAGCGGCTGCCCTGAGTGTCGGTCGCTGCAATTGCTGTCAGGTCCACAAGCGGAGTGCAAACCAACTCGTAGCAGATGGAACAGGGGTGGAAGCCCCGGCAATCGGGCAGAAAAACCTGAAGATTAGATCAAGCTGCAAGCTTCAGCCTCTGGTGCAGCGTCCGGTGTGCAGATCGTTGGCCTTGGGGCCGAGTTCGACCGAAATGCCGGGAGGATAACGCATCGGCCCAAGTGCATTTCAAAGTCTTCCGAAATTCCTTGTCATGGCCTGATGCCTATCACGAGGCTTTACTGGGAGTACGGTCATCTGCGCAGGCCTCAGGTCACTCATGGGAAGAGATGACAGAAGATCTTCAGAACGTTGCCTTGCAGCAAGGCCTTACTTGAGCGAGATTTCTAGAGGAACGGCGAATGGCCATGCAAAAGGAGATGGGAATAGTTGTCGTTTCCCTGGCAGGCCGCACTGTGCTCATTAGCACTGTGGATGGTGGAGTAGACGTTGAGGATGCCTCTAAGACAATCTCTGGGGAAGCGGGGGACTCAGTAAACGGCAGTGTTTGCCAGGTTGGTTGAACGCGGCGCGTTCAACTGGCATGCCGCACCATGACACGGCATGTCTGTGCCTCGCTAGTTACTTGAGATGAAACGCTTCCATTCCACTGCATGAGAAGCCCATGGATGCCAGAGCAAGCGAACTATGTATATTCGCGTCGAATCTGCGTCGCCGTCGGGTGATGCTCCTATACACCGAAGAGCCTAGGTGAGAAAACCCAATCCAAATCGGCATCAATGTCGTTCGCCGGTTTGCGACAGGGACCGCCCAGAATCTTGCGAAACGCGCACCTGCCAGCTCAGAGGCTGAAGGGGCTAGCTAGCTGTAGAGTTTCTGAAGCAGAGGTGGAGAGCGTCTCCAGTGACTGCATGGTCGTTGTTACCCAGCAGCTAGCCCGCAAGTTCCCGTTCGCGGTCCTTCTGGCGTCACCCTTGCATTTCGCGAGGTACGAGAGGCTCCCTGCCGGCAGGCCGGGCAAACCGGTCGGCAAATGCAGTGCTGATGAACTCTTGGTGTTTATGCTGGGATTCTCGAAGACGCCACATAGTCTTAGTTGAGGCGAGGTGGTCGCAACCATCTTTTCCGCACGGGGCCATTCTCACTCTACTCAGTTCTGTGGCATGTTCGAACACACGAGGCCTCGCTTTCGCATGCAAAGGTGCAGACCTTGGCCCGAACATCGTGGCCTACAAGCGTCCGTGCCTTGATACACGCAAGGCATGCCGGCTTGCCGCCTCGTTTTGCTCCTTGTGGCACTCGAAGAGGCTTTAACGCAAATACTTAACGCAAGCTGGTGATATCTGATCATGCTCAACATTTGTCTGCTCAAGCGAAAGCCGCAAGAGGAGAGGCGCCGGAAGCCAAGCACGTGTATCAGAGTAGACCGCATCGGGGCAACACCTGTTAGGACAAGCTGCTTTCGATTCAACTTCCAGGCTTTGCTTATCCGTAGCAGGTCTGCTCCCGACGTCACGTTCAGGTCAGCCATGGTTTGGAGATGCCGGCATTGGCTGCTGGCTGCGCTGCCGCTGCAATGCCACTTGTCTCTCATCGCCGCGACGTCGCTCATGCCGACACTTGAGCAACCCTGAGGTCCAGGGCTGTTCTTTGAGCTCAAAGCGAAGAGTGCTGGTCCAGCGGCATCTCGTCAGCATGAATCCTGCTGGCGGTTTCTTTTTTGAAGGTCTTGCTGGTTGTCTCAGGAGTGCTTCAAGGCGACTCCTGGGCATGGGCACAGCGTGCATGGAAGCTACGAAGCAGATGGGCCAAACGAGGGGGTCCTGGTTACCTTGACCAGCGGCTCTGGCAAGGACTGTAGCTCAATCAGGTTATCAGCCCAGCTCTTAGCCCTGCCGGATGCACACTCGTAGCCCGATGTAGGAACTCTTCCGAAATGCCGTGGGCCGAGCTGCAAAAGCTGGTGTGGACTGCCTGCCTTTATCCTTCCCGATGCCAGCCTGGCAGACAAGGCCAACCCGTCGGGGCGCTTCAGCATCGAGGTCATGCGAAGGGACAGCTGTTACGACAGCCTCACACCACGCCCGCTTGACTCTGTCAGGTGATGGAAGAGCTGCCACACAAGCTCTGTTTCGAGAGCTCCGTGGAGGAGAGCCAGATGGTGCATGGCCCCAGTGCACAAGCGCGACGGCATGGGTGGAGCGAAGGGTTGAACGGGTCAGAGGATGTCAAAGGCCTCAATCCATTCCAGGAGCTGTGCTTCTTTGCTCTGCAGCATGCTTTGTCGCTAGCCAAATCTCATTCAATGAACACGGTTCACAAGCGTAAGAGGTGGGGTCCAGTCAGGCTGCTTTCATCCTGCAAAGAGCCGCCTCGGCGTGAGACAACTTGTCCCCTACCCGCGGAATACAGAGTCTTACTCGAGACAAGGATGTGGATCCTACGCAACACAAGTGAAACTTGAAAGTACGTATACACAAGGAGCGAAGCTCCGGAAGTGAGAGACTGAGAAACAATTCCAGATGACGGTCTGGTGGGAACGTCCCAGAGGGAGTGGAGGGTGGGCAGAAGAAAGCGCTTTCGCTTGAGACCTCTATCAGGTCAGCTTCAACTTCCATGTGGATGAGCATGGAGACGGTGGGCTGCTTCACCGCGCGAGGCTTCGACGATATCGGTTGTCCTTCAGCTGAGGTACCGACCACCACGACAAGGAGCACATGGAGTATGTGACAAAAGAGCACACGGACAAGGTTGAGGAGCTGAGCTGATCCAGCTTTGCCCGGTAATGTCGGTGGTCGGGGTTCGGATAGTGCGTCTTGCTTGGGCTTAACTTGTTTGCGCCATGAGCGATGCCCTGCCTGTAGCAGGGTATATGTTGGGGCATGGTGTTTTTCACCGGACAATCGTATCAAGTGGTTCTGCCTGCGAGAGGTGTATCGTTTTGCTGTGGGCATTGAGGGCAGCCAGACACTAGTGTGAACTGCCTTGCGGATCCCTAAACTTCAAATCGGCATTCATCGCCACCAATTTTCGAGAGGCAGGATGTCGGGGTCGCCATGCAGCTATTCGCGTGTTCGACTCCTCTTTCCGCTCTCATGTTTCTTAACCGCCCCCATGCTCCTTCCTCCCCGAAGCGGAAAGGCGAAAGCTCTCGGCTCAGCTCCAAGGCCGAGGGTGAAGCAAAAGGGGATCCCAGCTTCCAAAAGGGGCCCGGGCCCGGGGCACTTCGCAGCATCTCCTTCTCCTCGCGCGATGCGACGATGCGACGAGACGACGAGACGACGAAGCGCAAGCGGATTTGGCTTCAGCAGCCGTGGCTGAGATTGGAGGGGTGCCCCCGACTCGTCGGGACAGGAGCTGGTCGCCAAGCTCGAGGCAAAAGCCAATGACATCCTCGACCAGCAGCAGTACGCCATCACCCGTGAGGCAGCTTCGACGATGCCCGTAGTTGCCTAACCAACATGCATCAAGCTGCTAAGGCAGTGCACCGAGAGACAGCTGAATCCACCAACGCACGCGTGATGTGGTGGACCCTTGCAGAAGTGGCCGCCAGTCTTGAATATTGAGACCCTGCGACTGAAAGCTGGGTTCCCTCGGAGTAGAGCAGCTGATGTTGGTCACACTGCGAGTGATATGCACAGTGCCGAAAGCAAAAATTCTTCTGCTGACTCATAACTGGTAACCTTGTGAGAAAGCCCAGAGACAGCACTCGACTGAGGCTGTCCTGATCAGCCTGGCTGCGTTTCAGGTGTACTACCTCCGGTCGTACTTTGAGGTGAAGCAGATAGTGTAGCACGGAACTTGCTTTTGCAAAGTGCGCAGACCGTCCGTACATCTGCTTGCAAGAGGCAGGCACCTTTGCAGGGTCTGGATCTCTGACAGAGACGACTCGAAAACTGGCATCCGTGCCTTCACCTAGACCCAGACCTAAAGTGGAAGCGCTAACACAGTGCATGGGCACGAGCTAACAGTACGTCCTAGAGAACGTGCTCGAGAAGCTCCCTGATGCCCAGGCTCTCTATAGGATTATCTATAGACTAAGTCAGTAAGTGTTTCAGACTGAACCATGTATCGCCTGAGGCCTGGATGTGTCTGCCAGTACCTACACGGCTGTGATCCGCATGTGGAGTCAAAAGCCTGCGCAGAATTTCAAGAGACTTCATCTTGGCTGACACGAGTTGCAGCGGGCACAAGATCAGCACGTCACCCGAGGCATCGACACCATGCTCGACGAGCTGCAAAGATGCCCGGGGCTGGACTGATTGACGCCCATGTTGCCACTCTCTCTCTCTCTCTCTGCGTCTCTGTGCTTCACACCCCATATTGACGCCGCAGCCCCTATAGAGCCTGGCAAGGCAGTGCATGAACAGATTTGGTTACGACTTCCATTGTCAGAACCGTGACGCAGCCCAGCATCATCTACTCGCCGATGCGTGGAGTTGGCAAGCAGAGCTTCAGCCCACAACTCGCGAGTAGTACAGCTTCTTCATGACGGATGTAGCCGCTGACATGTGACATATGGCATGCAATGCGGCGCGAAGTGTGCATCAATGCCTGCAACAACTCGAACTGGCTCTGTTTTATGTCGCTGGGCAGGCAATTCGCAGCAGAGGTAACCCTCCAGTCAGAGAGAGGGAGAGAGAGGGAGGTTACCACACCATGGTGGGGAAATACCCGGAACCAAACTCAGCAGACGCTTTCGTTCCCTGCGCTGAGCCTGCTGAGGAAAATTCTCCAGGGGGGGCGAGGACACCTCGCCAATGATCCGCGGGGGTGCCGGGGGGGGGGGGGGTTGCCCAGGACGCTGTCACCTTCCTTAACCCCCGTAGAGAGAGAGGGAGACCCAAAAGCCGGCCACTTAGTAAATCCAGAAGTGGTCTAGCGGGGCACGTGCCTGCGGGTCATGCGTGACCCCTAAGCCCGGCAGAAAGAAAGAGAGAGAGAGTGAGAAAGGGGGAACCCTTTCACCCTAGCCCGGCGAGAGGGAGAGAGAGAAGAAAAATGGCAATAAGGTGAGTAGTCAAGTTGTGCATTGCCAGCATTTCTTGCCCTTATGCTGTTGGAAGGTGTTGTTCGGAAACAAAGCCACCCACGAACGTCACGTGAGCAGGACATCATGCTTACCTAGAATCCGCAATCAAACCGGATGCACCACTGTACTCTCACTTCTAGCAACCTTCATCGGTATTCTCTACTGTAATTGTGTTCCGCTACGAACAAGGTGTATTCCCGTTGCTGATGGATGCTATTGAAACAAAGCATCCGGTGCCGAGGGCTTGCTTGCAACATTTTCGTCCCACAGCAGTCGGGGGCGCAGACGGGGTAAAGCGCCTACACAATAGCCCTGGCGAAAGAAAGAGAGAATTGCACGGCTCAAGTGCTGCACCCTTTGCTCGGGGGCCTGTGCCGCCTCCTTTCATCGGGGGGGAGACGCAACGGTTGACGTCATGTCAAAAAGAAAGCGCAAAGCGGAGAAGAAAGCCAAGAAAACCAGCAAGCGCAGGGGGAAAGGCAGCAGACCAGAGGAGACAGACAAAGACGGAGGCGACCCTGCTGGAGCGCACGAGCCACAATCACAGCCTGCCCAGTGTTCCAACACAGTGGGGGGGGGGCAGCCCTCAAGTTGTTCTTGCCGTTGAGGGGACTAAAGAAGCCGTGCGTCAAGTGCAAATAACGCGCAGTGAGCCGGCGAACCTACTTGACTTCAGGTTTTCAGTGGATTATTTGGTTGGGAGGAATAGCCTGCACTGATCCGCTTTCCTTCCCGCTGTGTTTCCGTACATGTGCATGTACAGCAAAAGTTTTGGGCGAAATGCACAGTAAGGAGACCTGTCTCGTTGTTTGTTAGTTAATCTTTTTGGGTACCGTGTCCCGCTCAGCTGTTGTTAAAGGCAGAGGACGACTGCATACCCGGGGGATGTGTCCGTCGAGGGTCTAAGGAATGCCCTCGATGGATGGAAGGAAGGAAGAGTTGCATGATGTGCCCTTGAAAGCCGCTTCGTTCCGTGAGCTAAATTTCGGCACCACGTGGACAAAGGGAAACCCATCGAATCAACCTGAGGGGCCTCTGTTGGTTTGTGGTCATCAAGCAACACAGGAATTGGCGCCGAAATTAGCTTCGCAACTTGAAGCTGTAGTCTGCTGTTGCTTCGAAGTTACCCTGCAATGCGGGTATCGTCCGTGCTCGGCAGGAGATGCAGGAGGGAAAACAACCTTCGATGTGTCCTCAGCCACTAGGGCCTCCAAATGGATGGGTGAATCGGGCAACTCGGACTCCTGACCCCAAAGAATTGTAAGGTCAGGCAAGGGACATCCAATGCTTGTGCGTTGCCTTGTTGATTGTACATTCTTTGACTTAGTGCTTGGTTCCTTGGGCATATCCTTGCACAAACATTTCATCTGAAGCCTTTGTCTGTGAGAGTGTACATTCAACATGGCTCGACATCGTATTCTTGAAGGCTTATTAACTTAGCCCCGAATAGCGAATAGCCGGCGCGAGTGGGCTTGATGCCCGCGGGACCTGACCGTCTCCTATGCCCTCGAGAGAACCATGGTGAACCCTCTTACATTTCAAGTGTTTCCTGAGGCAATCTGGTTACACTCTCTGTAGTGGCACGCACAAGAGGTTCGGGCACGTGACCCTGGGGCAGGTCTCCCCGGTTGTCCCAAGCCCTGGCGACAGAAAGAGAGAGAGCTCAGCCGTGCGTCGAGCTTGAAGGACAGGGTCACGAGGCGGAGTCGGGGGCCACCTGCTTTGTCTCCCCAAACCCAAACGCCCATCAAGCAGGCAAGCAAGTTTAGCTGCACACGAAGACGGACGGGTTACAAGAGCTTCAACCCTAACTGCAACATGCGAATGCACGTTCTCAGTGCTGCCAAGGATGGCCCCAGCATCAGCGCCCTGCAGGTATCTGCAAAGTCCCTTCGGACAGCAATGCAACAGGGTCTGCTGGAGGCCAGGGGCCCACACTGTCTGCAGCGCAGGGTCGAAACCTGATCCTTCCCAGGTCTTCTGCCGATTTGTAAGCCACCCGGTCGCTGGACACAATCTGACGGGGGCCATTTGGAAATTGGCCCATCTTGCACCGAAGGGAAATGCCAAAGCATGTGCAGTCATCAGCTGCCTCGCTGAATGATGTGTGCAGAGTCTTGCCTTGCATTGTCTTGGAACCGATCACCACTTGAGCTTGCATGTGTTGAGGTGCTCGCCTTCGTCATCGACGCTGCTGCGTGCGAGAAGCTGCTGTTCTCGCTTTGGGGCACATGGCACACTCCGATCTCGTGCCGAGGACATCAGGAGCCTCCAAAATGCATCGAAAAGGATCCCTGTGATTTTCTCGGAAATCGTCAGGATACGAGACTGTCTCTCCGATGGCCAAGGGCGTGTTCGTGCCTCTGCTGCCTGGGCATTGTCTCAGCTGACGGAGCAGGGAGCAGCTTTGTCTTAAAACAGCCACAAAAGACCCACAGCACGTGTCTCAGCTTGTCTCTCGAGCTTGCACTTTCGACTTAGCTGCACTCCGCTCGTCACCAAGGATTTGGAAACACTCCGCGCGACAATGATCTTGCTTGGTGACGAATCCATTGATGCCTGCAGAGCCGCAGTTCAATGCATTGCTGCAGTTGCGCGACAAGGGGACGATACCGTCACTCGCCAGCTCACCGAACTTCTTGGAAGCGGATGTGCGACAACCCGCTGGGCAGCACTGGAGACGCTGTCCCGCATCACGCTTAAGGGCGATCCGGCCGTGGTTGCCAGCCTCGTCCCATGCCTTGAAGATCCCGACCCGGAGATCCGTACGTCAGCAGTTGATGCACTGCGGCGGGTTTCGAGCTTAGACGTCCGATCTTCGTGTGAAGATAGGAGGCCGTACCCGATGTGTGCATGCGTAAGGTAGCCATTCACGGTGACCCGGTGGCAGTCCAGGGCGCATTGCAGCGCTTGGACCACCGAGATGGCTCAATACGAGCTGCCGCGTTGCGGACTATGTCGTGGGTGGCCAAAGTTGGCGATGCGGTGGCCATCACCAAGGCTCTGGCAATTTACCTGCGATTTGTTTCGTTTCAATATTCATCGTGCCTCAGGCCAGAGGTTGCCTGGATGATGGAGTGTCGAACGTTCGTGCTGCTGCTGTTGAGACGCTGGCAAAGCTGACGCCATCCAAGGGTGACGTCGAGGCAACCCGAAGGTTGCAGCAGCGTGTCGTTTTGCGGAAAGAGGAATGGCTCAAAAGAAGGTCATCTCCTGCGTGGTTGCGCGCTTGGAAGACGGCGAGTCTTTCGTTCGCACTGCCGCAATGGAAAGCCTGGTGAAGGACAGCTGGCTGCTCTTTCGACCACTTTCAAAAGCAGGGTGCACATTGATCGGAGCCGTCGGAGGTAGCTGACGAGGGTGACCTGACAGCTATGCCAGCGCTCTTGTCTCTGCTGGAGCATCAGGACAGTAGTGGTCTTCCCCTCATCTCCCCTGGGTCACGATCGAAGTGAGTGGGCCAGGACGGGCGTGTTCGGTTGGCAGCAGTCGAAGCCCTCGGGTGCCTGCACTGAACCTGTTCATCAGTGTTCTCCAGCCCAGCGTTTTTCGACGACTCTTCCATTTTGGACCGAGGCAGCTGTCCCCGAAAGGGGATGAAGCCGTTCTTGCTGCCATCTCAGAGCTACTGGAAGACCGCCACACCGGCGTCTGCTGCACGGCTGTTCAGGCACAGAGCTTGAGAGTCTGGCAATTCCCTTGGAGTGTCTTGACTTTCATAGCAGGTCTTGGCACACTTGTCCGGCAAGAGCGAGGAGGCTTGTGCGGCCATACGTGCAAGACTTGAGGATGTTGCAGGAGAGGCTCTGCGAGCTGCTGCTGCCTATGCTTTGGGTGACCAGTTGGACCTCAAACAGGAGATCCAACTGAGCTGATACAGGAATCTGGCAGCCTGCCGGGAGCCAATCGTGGACCCACTGCAAACCTTTCAAGCTGCAACAAGGGCATCCGCGACATGGACCTTCCTAGTCGAGGCAAAAATTACGTCCTTTTTGCCTGTGCTGGCACTGGCAAGGCATGTACAGACTGTACAGGCAGGTTTTTACTCAACGCTGCTGACCCATTCTCGATTCGCCATCTCGTTCTTGAGTGTCCAGCTGCGGGGTGTTGCGTTGTCGATGCGGCTCATGTGAATTCATGTCTGCAAAGCCAGCTGCTGCCAGCTTCGGAGACCCGAGGCCTTGGCACATTTCAGGCAGCAAAGGCGAAGAATGCAATCGTCGCTTCGGCGCAGTTGTCCGCTACTTGTAGCGCAGCGCAGAGCTTGGCAGCTGTGTCGTGTCTGCCAGGAGCGCCTGAATCAAAACCAGAATCTCTCCGGGCTTCTGCAGCATCCCCGGCACGTGTGAAAGCTGTGACTTGCACCGAAGTGCTTCAAGCCAGTCAGGCCATGTGCTCGACATATCTACATGACGACCGAGATGTCGATTAATGCTTATTACAGGGGAGGGTATAACTGTATAACTCTCGCATTTTTTGCGTGTTTTGCGCGTCTTTCAGCATCCACCTTCGGGTTACCAAGCGGACACCGGCCTGGCAGGCATGCAAACAGCAACCGTCTCAGCATCCACGCTGGGGTTCCGGTGGTGCGGAATAGCAGGATTTTCTGCAGTTAGAGACTTTCCTTTATCAGCTGTTGTATTCAAAAAGAAGTCTGGGTGATTGTGTTTGGTCGGGAATCAACCACTAAGCGCTTCGCTGGGTTGCGGATGTTGGGCCAGCGGCAGGCTTCCGGAGTCAAAGCTCGGTGCGCGGATCTCGCATGTATCGCGACCGTTCTTCGAAGATGGGTGCGCGTATAGCTTGTCTCTACATTGCTTCGGAGATCTTCGGCTGCAGCTGCAGCAATGCAAGAACAGATGATTCGCTTGCAAATCGCACCAGAGCTTTCGTTAAGTTTCGACGTTTCCGGCGACGATAAAACAATCCAGCGTCTCCCTGGGGATTACGGCTTGTGGGATGTGTATTGCGGCGCTGATGTGTGATTCCTTCAAGCAGCGTCCACACTGGGGTGATGCACATTTCCACGCCCTGACATGTGCTTAACCACCCCCTCCAAGTATCAGATCAAAGTCTTCAAAGTGGCTCCCTTAGGCTTCCGGGCACTCCGTTTGCAAGCTGCTTGGCTGCAGAACTGCAAGCTCTTCCGTGTGTGAAACAGAGAGCCACAGAGAGAAATCCTTGCAAACATGCAAGCAAGAGAGAGGGAGAGAGAGAGAGAGAGCCTAGGTGCAGAGATGCGTGTCGAAATGGCTGCATGGCCTGTTGAGCAACCTGTAAACAAAAAGTCTCACACCACACTCGGACAACGGCGTAGCGCACGCGCGCAGGGGCAGTAGGGCCAGTAGGGGCCAACCCTACGTCCCAACACGCCATGCAAGCAAGCAAGCAAGGGAGGGAGGGAGGGGGAGGGAGAGAGAGCGAGAGAGAAGAGAAGGAGAGAGAGAGAGAGAGAGAGAGAGAGAGAGTGAGAGAAAAAGATGCCTGCCTCCGGCGTAGCGACTCCGAAACTCCACAGTTTGCTAAGCTTGTGCCGAGACCCATGCATGTTTGTCACACTTGATGATACCCGGACCGTTGTGAACTGGTCTTAGATGTGTATTCTCAGCCTTTTCCTTTGTTACTGGAGTGCGGCACACAGGGCTTTCTGTGAGACCCCGGCAGCCAGCATTCGGGTCATGAGCAGTACTGTGTAACTCGTACCGTAACCTCTGTAGTGTACCAACTTGTCTCAAGCAACTTTCGTTCGTAATACCGTGCACACCCTCAACAGACGGGCTGCTCCCGTGGGGAAAGAGAGAGAGAGAGAGAGAGAGAGAGAGAGAGAGAGCCTTCGGGCGCGAGGAGCGCTTGCGAGCTCCTTTGTCCGATTGCAAGCAAGAGAGAGACAGATGCCAAACGTCTTCGTCAGTCATTTCGCATGTGCTTTCCCAACGGGGGCCCAGCCACTGGCCTCTGAAGAACAGAGGCACAAAATCTTCTGTACAGTCCGAGCCTATCCATGCCAAATAATGGATGGGGCATCGCGCCCGCGCGGGGGCGGGAGGACTGCTCCCGCTCCTAGCCCCTAGCAAAGCAAAGAGAGATGCGGACGCATTATGCAAGCAAGAGAGAGAGCCGAGCCCCCTTGGGGAAAATCCCTAGGTGTGGAAGTAGTCTCACCTGCCAAGAGCCGCAGGTACGCGAACCTTCGCGCAGAGGGAGGGCCCGGTGGCTGCCCTTTCCTCTTATCTCTTAGCGAGCGAGAAGGTGGGGGCCTAGGCCCGGGTCTGCTCGCAGACTCAACCCCAGCAGCGAGCGAGCGAGCGAGACAGGGGCAACCCTCTGCCACAGCCCTGCCGAAAGAAAGAGAGACTGATCCTGTTTCATCCCGACTGGAACAGTCAGCACAATTCTCCGGGCTGTGCTGAAGAAGAGGGAGAGAGAGAGCGAGAGAGTGAGTGAGTACTTTGGAATTACCGTTATTGAGCGCCACGAGATGAGGCCGGGATGCGCGCGAGTGTCCAGGGTCGGGTCGGGTCCCTGACAGACGAACGCCACCGGCTGAACCGACATTGGCGCCGAATAGCCTTCCACCGAGCCCCAAAGTTTCCTCTTTTACGTCCGTTGCTGCCGATCTCTCCCCGAAGCAAGGAAGGAATGGAGAGTGAGCGTGTGAGTGCTGCCGGCTCTCAAAGTCGGAGCAAAGCAAAGACAGACAGAGTGCGTTTGTGTGTGTGTGTGTGTGTGTGTGTCTGCACGTGCGCTCTCTACCTGCGATATGAGTACATGTCTGCTTTCTCTCGAGCGACTAACAGTCAGGATCTACCTGCATGCAGCACATTGCTTGTGTGGTGGCCGCTTGACGCTCCTGCTCAGAATCGTTGGCGCCACGTCAGGGCAGCCCCATTGGGAGTCGACATGCCGCATGAGCATGCGACTCTATTCACCCTAGTCTGGACGGTCCTGGAATCATGTCCGGCAGCAGTGCAGCTCTGGGCCACTACCGTGGCATCGTGCGGGGCTGAGACTGTGAGTCATCTTCACATGACGCAACACTGGATCACGTAAGACCTGGAGCTTCTGCCTAGAAAGGTGATGCAGTCTGTCAGTCAAAAGTTTGAGATCAACTGCCCGATTGCGCAGCATTTGTCTCGCTCCGTTCTGGAGACTCCACCGCTGTAGCGACCTTGCCTGTGCAATGCCTTCGAAAGCGAAGGTGGCGATCGCTTCGAGTGCCGCATCGGCCATGCTCCTTGCTCCTGGCTTTGTGACAACTCCAGCGGTGCCGAGGGCCCTGGAACAAAGGAGTGCCACCGGTGCGGCTGCCCCTCAGATCGGTGGCGCTCAAAGCCAAAGTGCACCTTGGGGCAAGGCTGCACTGGCAACTGGGCTTCTGCTTGGCTCCGTACAGATGTCGGGGCGAAGGCAGGCCCGAAAGGCCAGGGCCAGAGTTGCTGCTTCAGCGGCGAAGGTCGACACGGTCGGGATCATTGGTTGCTCCGGTGCTGTGGGAAAGGAGATGCTGGAATGCCTCGAGAATCGAAAATTCCCCACGGACAAAGTAAGGCTTTTCGGCAACAGCTCTGCTGGAACAAAGGTTTCTTCCTCTTCCTTTGGCGAGATTACGGTGGAGAAGTTTTCACTTGAAGCCGCGCAAGAGTGTGACATTTGCCTCATGGCCGTGTCGGGCGATTTCTCTCTGGAATGGGGGCCCAAGAGATCTGTCAGCATTTATGCAGATGCGTAGTTTCAAGTTGCTGGGTTAAGGCCTCAAACCGCATGAAGATGCGCCTTTGATCTCGGCATGCACGCTTTGTGGATGTGCATGGCATAGAGTTGGCGGATTGTTTTCACGGCGCGGCATGCAAAAACGAGGATTGCTGGTGGACCCAAGAACACACAGGTCATTGACAACTCATCTGCATGGAGGTACGACAAGGACTGACTGACTGAGAGAAGCTGTTCTTGCATCTTGACCTCGTGTCTGAAACATACAGGACAAGCCACTGGTGATTCCGGAGATCAACGGAAAGGGCCAGGTGGATGCGCCGCTCATCGCCAATCCGAACTGCACAACCGCGGTGGGTGCCATGGCGCTGTGGCCCATCCATCAGAAGTACAAGTTGAAGAAGGCTGGCGTTCATTGTGATCGAAAGCCAGGATGATGTCATTGTCATAACATGGTGTCCGAGAGAGAGAGAGAGAGAGAGAGAGAGAGAGAGAGAGAGAGAGAGAGAGAGAGAGAGAGAGAGAGAGAGAGAGAGAGAGAGAGAGAGAGAGAGAGAGAGAGGAGAGAGAGAGAGAGAGAGAGAGAGAGTGAGAGTGGTCGGGGGCTTAGCTGAGAGTTGTAAGTCCGGGGGAGTACAGCACAACGACGAGGCCTGGGGGTTGTTAGTTAGTGTAACGGGAGCGGGGGATTTGAAGGTGCAAATCGGGGCCTCGCCGAAACCGGACAGTTTCACAAAAAGACGTCAGACCGGTGCGCGCGCGCGAGGGCCGCTGCAGCCCTTTGACCGAGTGCGAGCAAGAGAGAGAGAGAGAGAGAGAGAAGGTCTATGGGGCGGGTTGGGGGTTAGCGTAAAGGGGGGTTTGTGCAGGTCAGCCGGTGCATATCCCCTTGGAGTTTTTATCTTTTCTCACCGCCCGAAAACCCCGGTGCGCGAAATCGCGCGGGGGGGAGGGTGTTCGTGCCCGACCCTCCTGGCCGAGCTGAAGAAGAGAGAGAAGGTGAATCACGGAATGTCATAGCTGCAAGGAAGAGCAACAGAAGCTTGTGAGGTGCTGATGTCGACCTACCAGGCGGCCAGCGGTGCCGGAGCTCCTGGCATGGCCGAGCTGGAGGATGGTGTCACAGCGGCATTGAAGGGGGGTTCTCGAGCTGCGTCTAGAGCCT